CATTTTCTGTTCAATGTGCATCATGGGGCCTAGTGGTCCATTTAAAAATTGTCCACACCTCCTTCTGCGGTTAAATGTTTGTGTTATTTCCTAAACATAAGGGATGAATTGATTATTATGCTGGTGGCAGATGGGGGCTACTGCAGTATTGTTCAGAAATCTATACAGCACTTGCTCCTCGCTTGCAAATTGCAACAATTGCTGATCCGTTAAAAAAAGACTTGAATTATGAGTCATTGGAAAATAGCTTTCAGGTCCAGAAGAGATACGGCCAGATGAGTGGTGTAGAGTGAAGATGAATAGCAGTATTTCAATGGTTTAAAGGTCAAGGAATACATTTCCATCAATTGAAATAGTATCAGTGCTTTAAAAAAATCTGTATTCAAAATTCAAGCTGGTCTAAGCCCCCATCTGCCACCACAGTCGGCACATGCACATCGGTTGCCCCTTGATGCACACTTGCTTTTGTTGTTTGATATTTCAGGTTGTCAGCAATGTAGTTTTAAATTTGGTGCCACCTAGTGGCAGTATGATATAATACACTCCATCCTACAGCCTCTAAAATTAAACTGTTTCCCATTTTGCATATTTTGAAGCTGTCAACAAAATGCAGTTTCCATTTCAGAGCGGGTGTTGTAACTTTGTAACATTTTCTTATATTGCAGTTTCCATTAAGACACGCACAGCAAAGAGCTGATGATTAGTGACAAAAGGTTGAAGAGCCCTTAACTTATATAATATGTTTACTATAAATGATTTTTTTTTATCATTTAAAAAGGTAGGTCGTAAAATGTGACTTTTTTAAGTTATATATACAAAAACATTTTTTTAACACTATTTTTACATCTTAAATTATTTCTATATTTCCTGCTGCTGTATTGTGTTCAAGAGCAACGATAACAACCGAATTTCCCCTTGGGATTAATGAAGTATTTTTGATTCTGATCTGCACCAGATGGCCACAAATAATGCATGCAAGAGAACATTACATTAAAAAACCTCTGAATTTATCGCTGTACATTATACCACCAAAGGTAGCCACAAATAACTGCGGTTTTAATTGAGCTGTCGTCCTTTTTTAAAGAGAAATATAACAGCATCCTGAAACGGGGTGCAGGTTGATTACCTTGATCTCTCCCTCTGCTGTGTCGGTGTCCTCCATTGTTGTGTCTTCCTCCACAACCTCTGAATGTCTCTTTGCCAGTCGTATTCTGTAACGGTATTTCATCGACTGCCAGCTGTGACCGGTCACTTTCTGCTTCTCCATCTCCTGCCAGAGACGGTTTCCCCCGACCTCTGACTTGTGATTGCTGACAAACTTCAATATGGCAGAATCTTCTTCAGATGTGTAAGCACTCCTGCCTAATGATGACAACAAAGAGCCGTCCAGCAGGATTTTTTACTTTACTTATAAAATCAATGATGTATCTTAGTCTGACAGTGATTTATAAAAAGTAAGGTTAAAGATGAACATACCTCCTAAGTTTCCAGGTGAGCTCTCTTTGTTACCGTTAGGTTTAGCAGACTGATTTGGGGCCCCTTCAGGATTTAACCTGTAGTCCTCTAAATTCAGCTGCTCGTCCTTCTCAACACAGTCGTGGATGTACTGAGCGGACACGTACCTGAAGAGGAAACAGACGCTTGCCTCAGGTCAGTTAAACAGTTAAAATTTTTTTGCTGAATCTCATTTGTAGTTCTCAGCCCAGCACCTACCAGTGAGCAGTAGCTTCAGTAATCGAGCCTCTCTCCTTGGGGTCAATCAGCAGAATCGCTCCGGGCTGCTGGACGCTAGACAACATCCCTCCTCCCGCTGTGATGAGCGGCTGGAGCTCACATTTAAGAGGACCCGGCCGCAGGAAGAAAGACATCGGCTCACCGTCCACGGACATGAACAGAACCGGGGAGATGGATTTGGCCACATCCTGCGTGGACGGCATGTTCAAAGTGTACCACCTGGTTCAAAGAGAGAAAAATTCATGTTATATAGGATAGGATAGGATAGGATAGTACTTTATTGATCCCCAGAGGGGAAATTCGGGCGTTTCAGCAGCACAGACAAGAAAGCTCAAAATACACATTAAACAGAATAGATAAGATAAATAAAAATAAAAACAGGGGGTATATACAAGTACAAAATTAATGATGAAGTTAACTATGCAGGGAATTGAGACAGTATTTGCAGAGAATGACAAGATAAAGTGACAAGTGATGATTGAAGTGACTTAGTATGATAAAATAGCAGCAAGTGATGTAAGACAGCAGAGAAGAGAGGCAGTGTTGTACCACAGTAATGCAGAGTGCAGTTATATAATATAATGTAGTATAATATAATATAATATAGTGCAATATGAACAATATAGTGTAATATAATTAAATGTTATATAATATAGGCTAGTATAATAACAATAAAAATATATAGAATGTACAGTATATATGTATATATACACATGTTAAAGGTTGTGCTCTGGTTACCATGGGAACAAGCACGACGAGTTAAATACCATCAGAGACTGGAAGTAGCCAGAAATGACAGCAACTCTTTACTTATAACATAATTCATTCACACAACAAATCCATGCTGTATCTGTAGTTCTGCTGTGGGCCTTTGGAATTACTGTAAGACCAGAAAACATTTAGAATAAGATCAAATGTGCAGTCAGAACTCAAACAACCAGCAAATAACACAAGAGCTAGAGCCGTCCATCCATTGTCTCTGTGATGTAGGAGGGGGACAAACCATTTAGTGGCTTGTAGACAAACAAGAGGATTTTAAAATGTCTTCTGTAGCTAAAAAAGGGAACCAGTGCAGGGAGGAAAGAATATGAGTAAATGTGCCCCACCTCAAAACTCGAGCAGATGTGTTTTATTTGATATCTAAACTTACCATACGGTTTGTTTACTCCCCAGGTGAACTTTCCCGCCGCGTAAGGAAACGAAACAAATCGTGTAGTTCCGGGTTCTTCTTCTTCTTCTTCGTCTGTAGTTGGCTGGTTGTTGACATTCTGCTTTCGTGTGAACTGTCGCCGCTCTGTGGTAAGAAGTGAGGATCAGCACTGTCACAACGATATATATTTTTTTAAAATTCTTCCTGTGACACTGTGTTTTTCTAAGTTTTGTATTTCCTTTGCAGTGTGTCTAAATGTTTCCTTTTCTATTTCTGTATTTCGTTTGGATCAAAAAACAAACAAAAAATGTTTAAACATATTTTACATTTGATTTATTGATGTGTTTGTTCCCTTTGTTTTAGTGTGATGCTCTTTACATTGTCCCTTTGCTGAAATGTGCTAAGTAATTAAACCTACCTCGCCTTGCCTTGCCCGTTGATAAAAAGGGACTCTCATAAAATACCTGCTGTATAGTCCTCGGTGTTCACATTTATCAGTAGCAACTATTTTTATTATCTTAAGTGTGAGACTGGTGTTTTCAATCCAGAACCTTGATTAAAAGTAAACAGAAGCAGGGTTGATATGGAACAACCCCTGCTCTGTTGATCAACCTGTCAAATTAAGCTCTGGGATTTAGCCAAAAATGTGTGTCACACCAGTCTTGAATGGTAAATTGCAACTTCAGAATGAGTACACAAATAAAAATTGAAATACTTGGTCCAGGCCCTGTAAAAAAAAGTGTACAGGGTCAGGACCACACACACCCAGAGTGCTGGTCATCTTATTTTCACAGAACAGTAAACAGACTTTTGCACAAACAACGTGGTCATACTTCAACAGAGAAAAAATAGATCTCTGGAATCAAAAACATAAACACTGCCTGTCCTGTGGGAGATATTATTTTGTGTAGTTTATTTCCCCCTTGAGGCAGATGTGTGTGAAAGGCATGATGGAAAACTACTGTACTGCTTTCAGCACCTCAAATGAAAACCATAGCAGGAACACTAAACCTTACGTGATACATTCAAAGGTATATTGTTTTATTCAAACTGAATTTCAGATGAATAACTAATAAAATGTGTTGTGGGAACATGCTTATCAGAGTTCCCAGTTCCTCAGAGGCTATTTTTTTCCCTAAACACACATCTGTCAAGGAGGAGGCTTTGTGACTTTAAGCTGTTAAAGAACAGCAACAAATCCATTTCAAGGGTTGTGGCCCTCTGCCAAATGGCAGAAATGTTGCAGACTATTGCTGCGGACCCTGTGGGCCACTTGTCCGAAGTTTCCCAGTGTGCCCACACATCAGCACCTGTTACTCAAACTCAGTTCAACAGCACCAGAAAAGTCGCTCCCTGCCTGATAGTTCACTGCTAGTTTGCTGACAAATGTTTCATTTTTGAACAAGATTTAGAGTTCCCATAAAGTTTCCTTTAAATAATAAACAGCTGCCCTATTCATCTCTTATACACTTGTATCTGGCCCCACAATGACAGAAAAGTCAAGAAGTTTTTTTTCATGATTCTTGATTTTAGTGTTTGGCATATTGTGGAAATGGCTTGATATTGAAGACTCATTCTGCACTTCTGGTGGTTAGTGAATTTAGCATCTGAACTAAACTTAGTAAATGAACTGTAATGATGTTCTTTCCACCTGGTGGGCTAGCCCCTTATTTCTTATCTTTATGCTGAGAAAAGCCATCACTCACCTGACTGTATCATCAAAAGTATCATATGTAGAAACATGAGTGGTTTCAAACTTCTTGTAAACCTCTTATCAAGACTGTAAATTAAACAAAAAGTATTAGTTTTCTGTCAATTAGGGACAATGGCCTAGTCAGATGTTTTATCAACAACTCATAAATGCTGGTCTTACTACTCTTTATAGTGAAAGTACAGTGAGTTGTGGTGTTATGTGATTATGGACTGGGAACATTAGTGATAGAGGATATTTGTCTATCAAATTATGCTTTCGCTGAAATCTCAAATTACACCAAAAATGGCTTTCCATTCTCTGATAATGCATGTGGAGTGAGTAGTGGTTTGATATAGTTATTATGTACTGGGAGTGTTATTTGATAAGGGAACTGTAGAGACTCTGCTATAGATTTGTGTTATGGTAGCATTTTATTGTGGCAAAGTAGCACATCTCAACAGAACAACAGAACAACAGAACAACAAAAATAAGCAATAAGCCAGGTTACTCCAGCTCTGGACCCCTCATCAGACTGAGGAGCTTCTCCATCTTGGCCACTTCCACTTCTGGACCAGGCTGCTCCTGGCCCTTCTTCATCTACCCACACACACACACACGCACGCGTGCACACACACACACACACACACACACACACACACACACACACACACACACAAACACACACGCAGAGATAGTCAGAAAACCACATGCTAAACTGAACAGCAGTAGTAATAGTAAGTAAGGTCATTATTAGCCGAGGGTTATATTACTCTCATATGAACATTTCTGGTTGCCATATTTTGAAATCTACTTTGATGTCTACTTTGAAAGCCACTTCCTAAACGTCCCCAGTGACATCAGTACATTTACAGAGCACTTCCAAATGTTGTGGCATGTTTTAATTACCAGCAAATTATCCTGCTGTAGGAGTTGATTCTTCTGTTAGCTCATTTACATGTATGACAGGCTTTTATCAAACTGAATTTGAAGCCTGATACAATTTATTTTATAATTTAACTTCGCTCAATTGATTTGGACTATCGTTAACAGGAAATCACATGTTTTCCTGTTAGGAAGTTTGAGTGGTTACATACATTACAGCTTCAGCATGCAACTGTTACAAACTTCATAATGATATTACTGAAGAGTTACTGTACCAATGCAATGTGGACTTTCATTCAGGAACACAGAGATACATCCTATTTACGTGGCTTGTGTCTGCAGAGAGGCAGGTTGCTCATAATGATACGCATTGTTAAGTTTAATGGTTCATTGATAAAGACCAGAAATTTCCAGGTTGGAAAAAAGTAGTGAGTTGGTAAACTTAAACTTAAGAAGACCTCTCAGGGGATGCATCAAGACATTTACAGTGCTCTTAAAATCTTTGTCACATGTATGTTGGAGCAGTCAAAGCACAGTTGTAACCAACAATAATGACTGTGAATGAATGCAGCTTATCATTTCAGTGCATGAAATAGTGAGCCAGCATTCACAATCTGAAGACCCTGAAGCTAAACTGACAGCTGTCATTTGTGTTATTAGAATAAACTGTGTTTTTGATGACCTCACATGGCATCAAGGAAAGAAAAGCTACACTCTTATCTGTTTTAAGTTGATCATGTTTAACATGGGAGAAGAAAAATCCCTGTGCGTTCACTGTGTTGCTACCAGGCGCAACAATACGACTTATAATGCAGAACAACACGTTACAAATAAATACATGCAGAAATTCACACGACTCTACTAATTAGACTTTGTCTCGTTTACTTGCACCATTGTGAAGAACACAAAGGGAAACTGGAGAGGCTGAGAAGGCTGATAGTAAATGAGCACAGATTAAAGTGTTGTGACTCAGTGTGCCATTTGGTTTCCTCCAGTGTTCAGCTGGACCGCCGTGAATACTCTGCAGCTCATTAACCAGTGTCATCAGTGGCAACAGAGTCTTCAGTGACTCATCAATTGTGAATGGACTTAAGTGGATTTTGATTCACTGTTCAGCTACAGTACAACCTTCTTTGAGTATATAGAACACATTTTTCTAGCTTGTTCCCTCATTATATATTACCTGTTTGACAGCAGGAAGAGCAAACAAATATGGCACCCTTAAAACCAGGGTGGCAGTAGTTTCTGTTGAATCCTAGTTTTCAGGTTGATTTTCAGTGAAAACTTGCAAATAATAGCAATTTATCTTCTGCTTTCAAGTAATATGTCTCCAGCGTGCTTATTCAATTACCAAGAACACTCGACTTCACTAAGGTTATTTGTTATCTGGCCGACATGAGTGAAACAGAAAGAGACACAGGTGATTAATGTTGCTGATAATGAGTTGATTGGAAGGGGGCATTGTTCCTTGGTAACATTAGCTTGAGTTCAGCACTCTGCAAAGAATGAATCATCTGATCTGTTTCAATTGACATGGAACAAGTAGCAGTAATGAGTAAAACTAGAAAGCGGACATGCATCAAGATTATTTACAGATAAGATGTGTATTAGGTGAAAGAACACAAAAGGCCATTCAAGGGCAGCATAAACTAACATCACCAAAGTGCTTTACATTAAATAAAGACTTATACCTCATTGGTAAAGCAGTCAACTCCATTTGTATGTGGCAATAAAGTCTATTTACAGAGACATAAAAGCTAGAGAAAAAAACATGGAGTGGATAAACAGCTATGTTTGGAAAGGTGTTTTCATCTTCTTATTCTTAAAGACAGACTTAAAATAGGTGTAGTGAAAGAGTAAGCCCAAGCTATTAGAGGTGAAAGTGCAACTGGGGCAATTCAGAATCACAATCACAATCGTTTTTATTTCCAAGTATATTTACACATACAAGGTATTTGTCTTGGTGTATTGGTGAAAAAAGCAGTTAACAAGGGAAATAAAGTGAAATAGCAAGAACTTGAATAAAATGAAATATAAGAAGTAATTACAAATATATATATATATATATATAATAGAGTATGATTCAGTGAGACTCTTACCTTCTGTTTCTGGCGGAGGTTAGGGGAGAGTTTGAAGCTGGCGACATCGCCTCAGACATCGCCCACGATGATGATAGGATGGATGGGATTAAACTCAATGTGAGTCAGCCTATGTTTGGCCATCACCGCCTGCTGGCAGAGGGGCTCATCCTTGTTGATGTTGAGGTCAAAAACATGGACCTGAAAAAAAGTGAGAGAATGAAGCTTTTGATTTATGTGTTTGTTTTTGTCACTGCTGACCATTTTTTGGAACTGACATTTTAGAAGTTTGGCATTAGGGTTTAGAGAGAAAAATGCATCTTGTCGATGACCCCCATATTTAGGCTGACGGATGTAATATCGTGCCTCCTGTGCGATAAAGTCAATCTGTTGTAAGAAGCTTTCTTTGTCTGTCTTTCATGTTTTTTTTTCTTGCTTTCAACATCAGCCATATACATTACCAATGATGAATTACAACATGTAACATTTAAACTGTTTTTCTTTTAATGTTGTGATTACCACATTTCATCTGTTGCATATCTAATCAACACTGACATTTGGTTGTGAAAGGATTTGCATAATTATTGATATACTACAGTATGTTTTGTTCCCGTGGTGACTAAATACTGCTTTTGGAGAGGACAGAACACATACGATAACATACGGTGTCTCTCAAATTGCTCATTTCCTCTTTGTCACTCTGACTAGACCTCCCTTGGCACACTGGACAGGAAATGTGTCAGACATAGCACATTGGATTTTTATAGCATGGCACAGCCTTGGTGCGGCGTCAAACAGATGGGGACAGCTTGAAGTCATTCTAATAGGTTTGCATAAAGGGCAGAGAAAATCAACCGACATCACTAAAAAGCCACAAAAATGACTTGATATTATATTTTGACACAGCTCCATATGAACATGTTCCCTCTTGGTTTGAAAAAAATGACATTCACAAACTAATATTGTCTAATGCAACAACCTACACGTCCTGCAATGAATCCCAGCTTCACAGAGATTGTAATATTCCGTTTTTGTTGAGACTGTGTTGGATTTTCTTTTGACTTTTTGACATTGATTCGGCTTTACACTCACTTGGCTGTGATGTTATATTGGCTAATATTTTTGTGTCCATTACAACAGCTACATTACCAGCATCTACATTCTTTATCACATGAGAAAAAGTACTTAATCCGCTTTCTTCAACTATAACTGTTGGAACATTTTGACTGAATCTTGCAAAAAAAGAGACTGTAGATTGAAGCAATGTATTTTTAAGGCCAGAAAGGGCAAAACTCCTCAGTGAAGCTGTGGGCTGTGAAACACAAGTTTATAGGGACACTTACTGTTCCATCTGTGTTGACAGCAGCAAATACAGTGGAGGAGTATGGAGCCCAGGCTACGTCACCAACAGCTGCTTTCAGTTCAAAGGTGAAAATTGGAGTGCTAAAAACAGAACACACACATCTAAGATTGGACAGGGAATTTGAAATTTATAATAATCTTGCATGAAAGTCAACTGCAAATCATCAGCTTATGTTTAATTTAGAGTCAGAGATGATCAGCAAAACTAAGACTGTTACCATCACTGCAAGCTCCGCAACTCAATGAGAACTGTTTATAATATGTGTGTGTAGTGTAAAGCTCTCACTAACTTCTCACAGTCTGGTAAAGTTTGTGGAAGTTTTCTTGTCAAACTCTCCGGGAAACATTATGTCTGGTATGTAGGGGATATAATTGATAATTCTTGTCTCATAATGGCTGGATAATTACTATCATTATTTAGTCAAACTGCCTTTGCTGACAAGAAGTGGGACGCACTGTCAGATAGGAAAATGATGTTGGGTCCATAATGATTACAGGAAATAATAATGACTAAGGACCAAATTTAATATTATGAGAGAATACGGGAATGATTATTATCTAGAGCCTTCATGTATATATTCACCTGAACACAGACAAAAGCAAAGTTTCCTACAATAAATAACATAAATACAGTCAAATTAGTTAGGCTATTCTGTAACTCCTCCTAATCATAGCCTTCCCCATTTACCCAGTACTGTAGAGCTTCACTGGGACTCTTTAAGACAGCATGTATTGCTTTTCTACAGAGGTGTCACTCTCTTCTTCAAGCGAGTCGACCGGTTTGGATGTCTACTACAGCAACAAGTACATTGGAGACGCCCCTCAATAATAAGATCAACATGCTACCTTAAGCCACAAAATGTTCCTACATTTCGGTCATGAATTTGCTGTACAGTCTGTGTATCTTGATTTATAAAATGAAAATCATTTTCAGCTGAAAAACTACACAGTGCTGGAAATGAGATCTGATGATAATGGAAAAGAGAACTACTGTAAATAGTGTAAATGACTACAGTAACTACTAAAAGGTGTACAATCTTTCATAGTTGTGGTACCAAATACAGTGTGTAGAGTTTCACCTTTAGTATTCACCCGTTCACTCTCTAAATTTGTCTTACTTGATGGTGTGATCCCAGATCTTGACTGGCCAGTCTGAACTGCAGGAGATGAAAACGTTTGGGTGGAAGTATTTCCATTTGACAGTGTCCACTGGCATGTCGTGGGCAGCGTAGGTCTCCAGGTACTGTCTTGAGTAAGTCTTGCACTAGGAAAGAAACGACAGCGTCTTGATTTGTAACACAATAATGGTATACATGCAGGATGTATTTATTATTATTTAGTATCAAATACTCAGTTAGTGAAAAAACAGTGATTGATTGCACCTGTAACTTTACCCACTACATTGAAGAAGTTTGATATCTCTACTAAGAACACAGGATCTTTTCTGTGTGCTATTTATTTTCTCATAAATTAAATTGCATAATGCACATTTTTGATATATGCAAGTTATATAATAAACATTTGAATTACTAATATTCATATTTGAAAAACTCAATTTCTGTCAAGTTGCCAATTTGTCTTTACCCAAACAGATAACAGCCCAGTTGACTCAGCTACAGTAATCTCAAATGTTATTGTTGGTGGTCACTTTGCCCTGTCTTCCAAGGCGTCATTAACAATACTTTTACACTATCTCAACAAGCTGAGCAGAAGTCTTCATGACCAGTAAACAGATCATATATGGAACCTATAAGACATGACTTGAGTTGAATTTCTAACGTGCACTTGGACATCTAAAGCTGCTGGAAAAGTCTTTCTGAGCTGTTGTTGACTAAAGAAAGCTAAACGTCAATATGGCTGAAAGTATTATGCCCAAAAGAGTTCACTACAGAGAGATGGCCGATAGCCACACAAAGTTGCTTATTGGCAACCACAAGTTACATTTGGGTGGACCGCCCCATTGCCCAGTGACTGCGTGTTTTCACCCAAAATAAGTAAATATTACTCTTCAACAAGCCCATATTCTTCGACTGAAAATAAACCTCAGAATCCTGGAGAGGTTCCAGTTCCCACACCTGAGCTCTGCCAAGGTGCCCGTGAGCAAGGCATCGAATCCAAACTGCTCGGGCCTCTTTCATATTCAGCCCCCTCGCTCTGACATCTCTCCATTAGTGCATGTCCACAGGATCCTGTTTGTGCATGTGTGTGTACTTCAGCCTATTTATGTGTAGCATGTCTAAACAACATAATGTAAAATCTAATTTATCCTCGAAGGATTATTAAATAATATCTTCTTAGATTAAAATAACTGTATAATGAATTATAATATCTAAAATGCTATTTCTGTATTGTAGTTTATTATTTTGGGACACCAAAAAATTCTGCATCCTCTTGCAACAGAATGTATGGACTTGTTGGCTCATGGGTTCAGTGGATAAAAATAGTATCTATCCTGCTGGGGCTTCAAATGCACTGTATCATTGCCTTCACATCATTGTGAGCACCAGTCTAAATGGGTGCTTGACATTGGTGTTTTTATTTGATCTTCCATGCCAATCAGGGAAGAATGATCCTCAACTCCCATAATCTTACTCCCCAACACTATTACCTCCTTATGACCATTAGAGATAGACGTGCCTCAAGCACTTGGTTTACTCTAATAAAAAACAAGCTACTTTCAATGATGTGTGTCAGACAGTGAGCTGTTTCAAAACATTCTTGTTTTTAAATTACTGCTAAAATGGGGCACAGCAAACAAATAAGTATTTATTTGTGTCTTTCTGCCTTTGGAAACAAGAGCATTTAAGAAAAAGCATGGAGAAGGGGGAGGCCAGCCAAAAAGGACCAGCTGTCTGATTCTGATGTGGACAGAGAAAGCCTCTGCTTAAGGAGACCTATTAAACCCTTGGCACTGGCCCTTATTTGAATTGATTTTTACACCATTGTCGACCCAGACTTAAAAAAGAGGATTATAATACACTCAATCATTGATATACTTACAATTAATTTTTTCAAAAAGATTTCTGCCATTTTTAAGGACTGTGTTTTAAAAAGTTAAAAACACATCCAGAATTGTAAAGCATTACTATATAGATGATTGTTCTAGAATGAATTGTGTATCATTGATTAGTCTTCTATATCATATTATTGTTAAATAGTAATACTTTGATGTGTTCTGCTTTCCCACTGAAATAGAAATGCCTAAGTCACAGGAACAACATGCCTGATGAAAGTGTAGAAATTACCTTCTGCGTATTAGAACCTTGTGTATCTTCCCCTGTTCTGTGCCAACGAGGAAGAGATAGTCAATCTGTTTATGGAAATCCATAGATGTTCCACAGGCTACAAGAGAAGAGAAGAGGCATCAAGCACATAAATTATACATATAATGTTACACACTGAGGCAGATGTGAACTGAAATCAGATCTTAATAAAGTGGATTATTTTGCATTAATAAGTGATATTTTATACACTCTGTCAATGCAGTGAGAAAAAGAGGTATTACCTGTGCTTGCCTGCTGTGCGCTTGGCTTGTCCTCAGCATTCAGTGACAGTGTGATAATGTTGGTAAAACGCAGCTCGTGCTGCAAGCATTCAAACACACTTTGTAAAGTCACTGATATAGTATATACATATTCAATTTATAAATGTAAACACAGGCAAACGTCAACAACGATACAAACAATTGCAAATATAAATAGACATACAAACTAGTACATTGCAAACAAATGTGTCTACAGTCCATCTTGAAAGGTGCATTACATGAGATGCACATTTGAGTTAAAGTCCTTATGAATTGAAACATACATTTCCCCAGTTTTAATCCAGCATTCCTGTGTTAAATGTTTATTTAACTGCCTAAAGTCAATACGGCCATATCTGTGTATTTTAACATCAACATAACTGTATTTTCTCTACCTGCAAAACTTTAAAATTTCTCATGACTCGTCCTGCGTTTGCTTATTTTGAGCCCATTCATCAGAGTGTTATGTCCAGCCTTCTATCTTGTGATTGGTTCTATCCTGTTTCATTTGGAAAAATGTCCTGACACAGTTGGATAAGTGAAAAGTTCCGTTTCATGGGGACTTTAACATAAACAAGATAAAATTGCCTCTAATACTACAACAGCAGTGTAAACGTTACAGCAGGAATACATGCGTTTTAATATGATCTTTGATGACCTTGATGAGTGTCCAGGACACAACTCTGCCATCAGATGACACAGAATAGAAATTGTGGTTATTTTCCATGTCATCATTTTGCCAGCACACCTGAACAAAGTTACAAATGAATAAATCTACCAGGGGAAAAAGGTGAGAAAATATAATTTTGGAAAAAGACACAATAATCTTTGAACTAGACACAATTATGGGACATGTTTTTTTTTTTTTTTTATTCCAGCACATAATTCTCTTTGAGGTTAGGGAGTTGTCGAAGCTTAACATAGTTGAGGTTCATTAGTCTATTTCCAATTCTTATGGCCTGATTTGTGATAGCTTTCAAAGTAGCAAAACTTTCATATAAACTCACAAAACAAGACAAAGTAAAAGTTCATGGAGAGAGTAAGTGAAACTAGACACACACCCTGAACGCTCACCACCTCTACCTTGTCCTTTACGCTCACCTGCCTGACAGGGTCTGTGTGCTTGCCAGTCTTAGCTGTGCTCTTATACACTGGCTCTTGTCCCTCCCTTTTCAGGTTATAGACAGCCACAGAGCCGTCATACAAGCCTACTGCCACCAGGTAAGAACGCTGCTCATGGATGTCTAGACACAGGACGCTGGAACTGGTGGGGTAGATGTACTCTGGGAAGGTAGAGTTCTTCAATGAATAGAAGACAAGCATGCCACGCCCCTGTTTGGTGAAGTTGTCTGGTCTGGAGAGGAGATTGCAAAAAAGGCAAAAAAAAGGTCAAATACAGAGTTTGCTCCCCATATATTAACAATCAAACATCAGATTTAATAAGGTCAGAGGAAAATTCAGATATTTCACCAAAAGAGCTTACTGATGAATTTTATTAATGTACTTACATGATCCCAGTCCCACGGAAAAAAAGATCTGGATATTTTTTTTATTCCTATTGAGGAGAGATGCATCAATCAGCACAGCTTTGAAATACAACTAATGATAGGTAAAGTACAAAGTCAATCTCTTTACCATGAAAACAAAAGATAGTGTGGCAGTCTGTTTCTTCTCTCAGAATAACAATGAACTTCATTCTAATCCAGGGGAATGTTGGCTGAGTTGTTAAACAACCTTACCAGCAGAGGGCAGTGACAGACAGTTTTTTTGATTTTGTCATAGTGGAATTCCCACAGAGGGAAAATAGTCCCCTGTTGGCCCATAGTATTTGAAATCTGAAAGAACAAAAAAGGAAATGAGGGAGGAAATAAAAGCATTTTTTCTCCAAAATGAGATTTACATTTAGAACTGTGTCTTGCTATTTTCACTGGCATTTACCTTGTGCTATGTCATCAAATCTATTCTGGTGGACCATTCGTTCAATGAGCTTGGCTGCCTTGCCCAATTTGTTGATGTCATCATTCTATAACAGACACATGACAACATTTCATATGGAAAAGTACAGTAACCTTAAAGCAGTTGAGAAGATACATTTTCTGACAGTTTAAAAAAAATGTATTTTACTAAAGGAAATTATCTATTATGTATTACGCACACACACACAGACACACACAGACACACACACACACACACACACACACACACACACACACACACACACATTAGTCGGATGTCTAATCATAATTCAATACACCCGGAAGTAAGGCGGTACTTGTCGAGTCACCTCTGTCAGGATGGAGGAAAACGAGCTGCTAAAACATGCACACGCTTTGAACTTACGAACACAAAGAACACTGTGAACTATTCAGTATTTAAGATAGTGTTTGTCTATGTTTACCTTCAGTAGCTCGTGGTTCAGTTGGGTTTAATTTGGCATAACGCTTTTACTGTAAAATAGGTTGTGTTTGTATTGTTTGTCATTTAATTATATGTATTGAAAATGTTGTTGTATTGGCTCTTTCAAATGTAAATAATTGTAAATAAATATATGAATTATATTCATTTTAATATTGGTGTTGATTCACTTGTTTAGAAGCAGTTTGTGTAGTGCTGCCATTTTTGTATGGCTAAACAATGTAGCAGAAAAATATAATTACATAAATAACCCTATGCTGGGTGAAAATAAGCATATATAATAATAACCCCATGAAAAGGTCAAAAGGAACCAACGTTGGGTCATTCTGACCCAATTTAAGAATAAGAAAAATAACCCAACATGCTGGGTCATTGTTTGCAACCCAGCTGTGTAGGTGCTAGATTGACCCAGCGCTGGGTTAGGAGTTAACCCGTATTGGGTCAATTTTGACCCAGCATTTTTTAGTGTGTGAGCTTATTTTAAAAAATGTATTAAGATATTTGTCTGTCATTCAAACTCGTTTTGTATCTTCAGACAAATAGTTATTTCTCTTGTGTAGTAATCTGCTCTCTTTAGTAACTTCAAATTGGGGAAAAAGCTTCTTACTGGTGAAATGCTTTCACAGAACATCAACTGAAACTTGAAAAAAAAAAATGATGTTGTCTCTCTTGGTTCCTGACATCTCTGTATGCAGAGGGCATATTAAAATAGAATCTTTCACTTGTCATGAATAATGTCCAGCACACTCAACATTTGTGTCCTCATTTGTGTCATGTGACAGAACAGTTTAAAATAGGTCACCTTATATCACACTGGTCTACCTTTTCCATTGAATGGTATGATAATGAAGATCATGTGACTGAGTGAGTCACTTAGGAACAATCCATCTGACAGCTGATGTGATATGCTTGAATTGCTGCCAGCTAAAGGTGGAAGTCAAACAATGTCTGAAACATGCTGGTGGGCACTGGGTGGGGGAAAAAACAGACATTTCAAATTGTTGTCATTCCACATAATCTCCTTTAACATTAAGAATACTGTAATGTTTCATGTAAATTAATCTCAAATAACCAACAAATCCACTCCAGAAAAATACAATCAGTTTTATGAGGTTAATATCAAATCTTCAAGTGTCTATTGGATGTGGGTGCAGCATGCTGCCTTTCCCCTTCAAAATGTTGGCTGCTGAATTAACATCTGCTAAAGGCAGTGGTCAAACTATGTCTGAAACATGGGGACTAAGGCGGAAAAAGCCCCCTTTAGCCTTCTTTTTCTCAGGTGTTTTTTTGTTTTGTTCTGTGCTTCCAGAGAACTGTTGTGGTGACATGAAGATCTTAAAGCTACTGTCAGGATCTATTGGTGTGTTTTGATCTGGAGACCTCTGTCAACAAAGTATGTCTTATCCCTTTTGGAATCTTGTTCGTTATACATGCAGATAGTCAGATGAGTTTTTGTAATGAAAAACCTTTTAAATGTCAAACGCCTGGCTCACTGAGAATCTTTGCAGTGGAAAATGTAAACAAAGACAGTTTCAGCAGTGTGCTGTTAATCACCTCGTGACCTACCTGAGAAACAGGTATTACAATAAGTGGAAAAAAGTCAGTTTCTGTCAGCTGATGGTCGGGTTTGCTTTTATATATCCTATAGAGGCATCAATTATAATCTGGCATAACTAGTTGAAAACTTTTCAAAGGAGTTTTAAGGTAACAAAACTACAACTATTCTTATTTCTGTTTTATTCGTCATATTCCACTTCTGCCAATAGAACCTATAGATCTTACACAATAGTCCGATATTTATTATTTTATCCTGTGTGATTCAATTCAAACTAATCACCATGACCTTACAATACATGAGAAACAGTCCACCTTTAACTTGTCTTAATTTATTCAGGAGGCCACTGGAAGGAATAAGGCCGGCCTGTTTACTGTATCACTTCTCTGACCTTACCTCCCTCACAGTCCTGACAACTATTGTATTGTTATTGGCCTCCACGGTTCCTCTCCCTCTTTAGCACAAACCAGCTGAAACAATAGGACAGCTGCTGAGGTGCTGCAACTCCTCCACGTCAACTTGTGTTTGTGGAAATTCTCTATTAATTACATAGATGAGGGAGGTTTTCTCTCCCTGGGATCTGATTGTGATCCATTCATGACCTGAACCTCTGCACACCAATGATCAACTCATTCCTAAGCCATCAAATCCCCACAGGTTTATCATACTGTGTTTTTAGCAGTTTTTTTATTTTTTTATTAAAGCAATAACAATATAGAGAGGCTGTGTGGTCAGGCCATAACAGTGTAACAGTGAGATTTTGTTCTGGTCCAGGAAAATGTCAGGAGTTGTGTGAAGCCTGCAGAGGGAGATATAACACTACTTTAAGGTACATTAGGCCTGTCAATCAAACTATATCACTTTGGTTCAGAGGTATTTTAATGAGTTATATTCTTAGTCTTTCCTAAATTAAGTTCATTGTAATGTGATCTGCTGAACACTCTTCAGTCGAATGCATCGGTTTGCAGAAATGAAGCCGGTCCATCTCGATTTTCTTTTTATCCATCAGTATTTTAAAAAAAAGGATATCAAAAGTTTATCAATAAATCCATCAGAATGCATTCTTATAAACATGACACCTAATAGCACTGGGCTATAGATGTCGTAGTTAACTCCTTCCAAGGCTTGATGACTGTCTAAGGGGAGCTGCACGTGTCTTCCTGAGACAGCTACCACTACCATTATTAATATTAAGTAAGATTTGTTTCATTGACAACTGCACAGCTCCTTCAATGCACATTTTGTACATTTTGTGTCTCTTATATTTTTACATTTTTAAATTGTATTTTATATATTGTAATTAATTTCATATTTTAAGTTATTTTTTAAGTTCTTGCTATTTTTGCTTTATTTCCTTTGTTAACAGTTTTATGTACCAATACACCAAGACAAATTCCTTGTATGTGTAAATGTACTTGGCAATAACAACCGATTCTGATTCTGATTATTATTTTTTTCTTGTCACTAGTGACAAGAAAAAAAAACTAGGCCGAAGAGGCCCTCTGATAGACAGCAAGGCCTCTGTTTTATTATATGCATTTAGAGCCACATAGGAATAATGTTGATAAAACATCAACCTTCACATGTGCCCCACTGACCTCCTTGATTTCTTCGCTTTTTTGAGACGATCAACTTCAGAGATGACCTTGACCCGTTTTGTTAAGTCATAATTTAGACTCAATTGACCAACAATCAGTATAGATATTCTTGGACAAATGATTTAAATCTCTGTCCTTGAAAGACTCATCCACAGTCAGACTGAGAGGCATTACTCAGAGGTAAGATGCAGGTGAAAGGCAGTAACAGTGTGGTGCAAATAGTGATGGAAAACAAACCATGCCTTCAGTCTATTTTTATTTCCTGTTCAAAAAACGGTTTCAGGGAATAGTTTATAATTTTGAGATATAGGCTTGCTCACTAACTAATGCCACTGTAACATCTGTACGCTAAACATGTGCAAGGTTCAAGTAGACAGTTAGCTTAGCTAAGCTTAGCATAAAGAAGGGAAGCTAGCTACCTTGGCTACTAGTCTGAAAATGAGCTACCTACAAAGGTAGCAAATTTTCTTGATTTATCTAATTGAAATAAAAAAGTAAATAGGTGGACTTTACAAACAAAGCATGCCAGCTGTGTTTAGTTTTCAGAAGTGAGGATTAAAATCAAGGAATGATGTTTGGAAAATGTTCACCATCGATGTCCCCTTTGGAGTCGTGACAGAGCAGCTGAAACCAGGTCACATATTAAATAGAACGAGTGAATCACTTCGGGAAAATCCACCTGACACAGGTATATTGTCCCTGCCAGTTGGTCAAACAATGTCAGAAAAAATATTTGTGGGCGGAAAAATGCGCTGACGCCTCCATTAGCTATTCAACACGTCCTTTGATATTTATCTTAATATTGGGCAACATTAAATGACACATTATCCCAGTGAATTGACACTTTGAAACAAGTTCAGTTTTGATGTTTCTTTAATGGCCATCAGAGAAAGAAAGAAGACAAATATGGAGAAAATTATTATTTGATAAACAGACTTTCACTTTTTTTTATTACTTGTATTTTATTAGCTTTTCTTGATGAGGATACATAAAAATAAACACAGTATACAAACGTGTGTCAGTTAACAATAGTCACTTTAGCCTCCTTTTAAATAGTCCACTCTCTTCAGACTTTGTGATGGGTTTTAAAGTCAGTCCACTTTTTCCATTTTCCTTGGCATGCAGATTGTTGTCTTAAATTGTGTGTAAAGTTCTCCATATCATGTAGTTTTTCCACAATGTCCAACCAGTTTCTCTGAGTGGGGGGGTCACTTTCACTTTTTATGTCACTTCATAATCAATATTTTGACGTAGCAATCGTAGGGAAAAAGCTGAAAATCATGCGACTCAACTTTACTCATATCATATGCCAATTTGTTTTTAACAAGAAAAGCAGGACAACTCCAAACATTTTTATTTAAATGTGTCTCTATAGTTGTTTTTTTTTGTCAACTGGATTTCAGAAAAGTTAAAAAGAATTTTTTTTTTTTCTTTTCTTTTTAAAGTCTTAAATACCTTCATGTCCTAAAAGTACAATCAGTGATAACAAATTTCAGAGATATTTTTTGTATGTGAACATATTAAACTAAGCTGTATTAATCTTCCAGTGGCAGGTGTATCACTTCAGAAACAAGGCTGATACTACAAACACATATCAGGTATCTGTGGTGGGAGTAAAATTCCTCTCTGACACTAAAAAACAAAAGAGAATAAAACACGAAGCTGCTGTTTCTGAAGGAACTCAAACAAAAACAAAACTTCCCGAGTAAATCAGCGTCCCTCTCTTTGGACTTGGCTCAGTGCGGACAGACAACAGCAGAAATATTCTTTCTGGAAATTATTTGGCAGATTAGCTCAGAGTTCTTGGCAGGGTTCGGTCAGCAGAGACTGGCTGTACAAAGTGAGGAGATGCTGACTCAGCATAAAGAACACATTTAATTACCATCATCATCAACCATCCAAGAGGGTCTGGGCCAGAAATCCCCCCACCACTAACATCATCATCTGCCAAATCAAAGACTTATTTTTAGGGGCCAAAATTCTCCTTTACTCTGCTACGTTCTCACGGCCCGAATCTCAACTAGTGTCATCTTCTTTTTTCTTTTTTTTTTTTTACTGCTCACACATCCACATGGAATTCTTCATCTTTTTGTTCCTATATGTCTCTTTTATTTTGGACTTTTTGCCGTTATTTGATATGACTATGGATAGAGTAGGAAACCAAAGAGAGAGAGAGAGAGAGAGAGTGGGGAATGACATGCCAGAAAGGAGCCACGGGTCGGGCTTGAACCCGGGCCGCCCGCTTGGAGAACTATAGCCTCATTAAATAGGACGCGACCCAACCGCTAGGCCATCTACACCCCTGTTCCTATGTTTCATAGTCAAATAATCAACCATTCCATAAATGTCAATTTACAAAGCACCAAATAACAAAAAGTGATCATATGACCCAACTGAATCCAACAATGAAAAGCACTTTGATGAAGTGATACCACAAAAAAACCTCGAACAGAACCAGACTCATTGTCAGAAAGACATCTGCAGCAACATGCAGGGTGAGTGATCTTAAGAATTTGAGAAAAGTATCCCCAAAGTTACAAAAAGAGAAAGAAGAGTGAAACCTGAAACAAGTCATAAGAAATATAAATACTGCTTTTGGCACCTGCTGCATGAGATCAAATCCCCAGTAACATTGTGCACCAAATAAACAACAAATGCCCAAAATTAAAATAGATATGATCTTAATTCTTACGTACATCTCTAATGATTTAGAGTGCATTCTCAACTAATCCGTTTGGTCAGTTTGAAACAAACACTGGTTTGGTGGTTTGAATGCTCAAATGAACTCTGGTGCAGACCAAATAACCAAACTCTGGTCCGCTTAAGCCAGGGTTCTGGGTTCGGTTCACTTTAGGTGAGAATGCATTCATGGTCTCTGAATCATTTTTTTTAACATGCTACTGGCGATCAATCACTTTTCTACTTCCCTGTAAAGCTCATTGAACTGTAATTGAATTTGTCTTAGAGGTTCTATATAAATAAAGTTTGATTGATTGAAAATGTAATCATGTAATACAAACTTGACATCATTCCAAAAACAATATCTTTAACTTTAAGTAGCGGAGTGCCGAGAGTTTTTTCATTGGCTACTGTAGCTTGCAACAGCTTGGCACTTTTAGAAAACTGGCTTGATCTTTGTAGTCGACAGCATCGTATACTTTGTCAGTCTACCACATCAATGTGGAGCTGTTTAATGTCTTTATGCTCATTTGTCTGTTCTCTACTCTTATTTTGAGTTCAGTCATGTGGTTCTCTTAGAGTTGTTATTGGCAGAGTTTATTTTCTTTATTTTTTAGGTTTATTTTTGGGCTTTCCATGCCCTCACTTTAGAGACAAGACAGTGGACAGAGCCAGAAATTGGGGAGAGAGAGAGAGAGAGGGGGGAATGACATGCGGGGACTGAGCCACAGGTCAGACTCGAAACCAGGCCGCCTGTCCCCTCACATGAGGCGTGTGCACCAACCACCAGGCCAACGGCGCAGGGAGTTGTTTCTTCTATTGAAAATATACCTAATGGAGAAGGGTCTGTCTCTGCTGACAGTGAGGGTAGGTGAAGAGCGAGAATGACTCCCATTATCAGGTTAGAATAGCAGTTGATGCCAATCTAGAGCAGACACTGAGAAACCATGAGTCCTGGTACTTTTAGAGCTATGTTTTTTAAACTGAGAATCACATCTTTTCAAAAGGCATAAAGCAAAAACTTAATGAATAAAATATTCATGTCTGTTTCACGACTAAAAGCAGCCCTTTCATATCATCAGCACACAAAGAGAAACAACATCTTAAGATGCTACAAAGGTTTTATTAGAGGGGTTATTAAAGAGACCATCTGTTCTTCTGTATATTTATACAGAATATTAATTATTTATTAAACAGTTAAAGCATTCAAGCAGTGTAATGTAAGTACACATGTCCTTGTCCAAGGGCTTCTGTTGAATTTAGAACTTGGATCCTAACATTCATAGGCCAGTGTTGGTCTATAAATGGCTCAATTCCATGTGAATCCTTGGCTTAAAGAGAAGCATCGCTGCCAGTGCGAGGGATTTAAAGTGTTATGTATTCTGCATGTAACTTGGCAAACATCCAGACAGCAAGATATCTTTGTGTAGGAATCTGTGCTGAGTGACTTAAACCTTTAGTATGTGTCCTCAGTGTGTCTTTTACCTGCCATCACCTCTAGATGATGTTTTTTTTTCATTATTTATATCTTCCCGTTGAGTTGATGAGTTAAGAAAAAGGGACGGAAGCCTGTGCTCACTTTAAAGAAGAGAGGCATGTGGAAAAGTGACATATCCTCAAATTTAAAACCAGCTCCTTTGTCTGCTGATCAAATTTGTTTCCACAGACTTTGGTCTTTTGGCACGGTTCAGCAGAGTTCATGTGTTGCAATCACTCCAGCAGGGTGTGTGTGAGTTTGGTAAGAGACACGAAGGACAGCTGATGAAATGACTGCAATGGTATGGCATGCCTGTACACTCCTTAAACTTCAGACAAGACACAGCTTTAAATAAAAAGTTAGAAAATATTTTTATTTACAGAAAATGTCTCCTTTTCCCGCCCGTTTGTAATCAATCCAGTCCCTTTGTCTAACCCCCCCCCCGTTAAAAAACAAAATCTCATTGATCAGACACGGTGAACACTTAGAATATTTACAAAATCACTAAAGTCAGTAAAGCTCAAACCTCTTTGAAAGAATTTGAAAAAAAGGCTGTAAAGCAAGTTGTTTGACAATTTTTTTTCCCATACAAAAAAATATATACGAGAATATATTTAACATTATACATGTTTAATGTAGATCATGTTTTTTTTTTAAATTCCACACAAGAGTCAAACAGCAAATCTTAAAGGCACAATAAGGCACAAACGGTTTCATCTTTCTGGTTATGTGCCTCTTATGTGTACTTCACGTCTTCTCACAGTTTCTGCAGGTAGCTGAGTCTAAAATATGGAACAGGAAATAATCAGATTTCTGATTTTTGGATTAAGCTGATTTAAAAGAAATAGCACCTTCCTCCCTGATGCCCAAACAGAGAATGTGTTGACACTAGAAAGCGTTCATGCAGTTTTTTGCTTGTTCACGGAGGTTTGTAGGCAAGCACACACTGCTGCTGCTGCCTATGACGGTTGTAACGTAGCGTGTGTGTAGATGAGCTGTACATGAAGCAGTGTGTTACATATGGTATAAAATATTCACAGTGATACTTTGATCCTCCTAGAGTGTGTGCGGTAATGAGCTTTCACCATTCAAAGCACCGTCTCGCCAATAAGAAAGTCTCCACTATTACAGTGGAAAAAAGAGTTGCTCATCCTGATTGGTGCAATAGGCAATTGTTTCATATTTCACTTGGCAGCCCGCTCATTCACAAAATGTCCAGGCTCAGCAGGGGCTGAACGACCGTGCACCATAACTTACTCACATGTCTAGACAAGATTTAACACTCTGATTCTGACTTTTTGGCTTTTTGCTGTTCTTCCCCTTCTCTATCTTATTTCCAGTCAGCCTGTCTGGTAATCTCCTTTTTTCTCCTCTTTATTTCACAACTCATGATTTCAAAAACAAAATCTATTTATTCCCTCTATTTTTTTTCCCTTTCTCTCCTCTCCTCTCCACTTGTCGGTCTCCCCAGATACATTCTAATACAAGTCCTTTATGATCTCCTGCAGCAGTGGGTGTAAGCACATGTCCACCTCAGTCTTCTTCAGCAGCTGGATGAGGTGGACGTGGTCGGTGACGATCTGACGCAGGTCGGTCATTTTCTGGAGCAGCTTGGCAAACAGTTGCAGAGAGTCCGGGTGGCTTAGCTTCAGCTGCAGCTCCAGCGAGTGAAGCACCGTCTCCTGCAGCTGCTCGATGGGCTTCACGTTGAGCAGGCCGGGACGGTCTGGACATGTTTCAGAGGCAGGGAGAAACAGTCAGAGACATCATAGACAAACAATAAAAGAAGGAAAACAAAGGGGCAGAGAAGACAAATATAAATCTACATTTACTGAATGTGAACAAACTTGAGCCCTAAAATCAACATTTAAAACATAATAATCTCATAATCTGTTCAAAAACAAAACACTGAGCTCTCCTTTATGATTGGACGTAGGTGTATCATTACTATTTACAAATGTCATCTTATCGTTGTATACAAGCTATCATCGCAGTCATTTAAGTTAATTATCAACTTCAATGTTTGATTTGTATCCTTATCAGGTTCAAGGGCGGATTTTTATCAAGTAGCCACACGCAAACTAGAAATATTAGACCCCAGAGATAAAAGAGTTGATTTTTAGGGACAGGTGAAAATATCTGTTAGCTTAGTTTTAAAGACTTTGTGATGACAGTGCAACAAACATCTCTACACCTCGGTCTTTTCTTTTAAACCAAGACCTGAGTGGTTTTCAGCTGCTTATGTGGTTGTGTGTGTGAAACCTGACCTACTTTCTTTCCGTCTTTGTCCAAATGTGTCTTTTGTCAACAACACACCGTCATAAAGTCTCACTGCATAGGATGTAGCTGCTAGTTTCCACGTGAAAAAATGATTCATTCTCCTTCACTTCTTCTCCCCCTTTCTCTCTAGTAATATCCCGTGCCTCAGAAGATAAATGGGTCAAGGTAGGCCATAGATAGCGTCAGCAGGTTTACAACTCAAACTCTGTCAACAGCATCCACCTTACAACACTTTATATTCACAGTGAACTGATCTGAAGCCACATGGCTGCAAGAAAAGGTTTTCATAAGAAACCTTATGAAAACCTCTTAGAATTTATTACTGTAAATATTATTTATCTTATTTTTACCTCATTTTATTTGATCTATTTTACCTTATCTTATTTTACCTTATTTTGGTTGTATTGCACCGCGGGACGGAGACAAATGCAATTTCGATTCCACTGTATGTCTGGCATATTTTGAAATTGACAATGAAGTTGACTTTGACTTTGACTTCCAGCCTTTCACTTTTTGTGCACCTTGGTAGTTGGTGAAGTTGTGCCAGAAAATCAGAAAACAATGGTACAACATTGGTGCCAAAAAGAATTCCACTTGGAAAATGAAAAGTTTCCTAATTCAAATTTGAAGTTGACAGAAAATTATAAACCAGGATTTAAACCTAAGCTAGCTCTCTTCTGGCTCCAGACTCTAATTCACAGACAGACGTTTGAGTGCTATCAAATGATCTTTTGAAGAAAACTTCAAAATCACCCACCCCCGCTGAGGATAATGACCGCTAGAAACAGCGCCATGTCGCTGTCGTCCAGCTCCAGCATGTTGAACTTTACAGAGAACTCGAACTTTGGTTCCATCATTTGACAGAAAGGTTTCCTGAGACTCTTGAGGAACTCCCGTGTCATGAAGATCTGCCCGTAGGAGATCAGGGTGCCGTCTTTGTTCATCAGAGGAGCCATCATGATGATTAAAACCTCGATCACTCCGTACTTTAGTAAGGTAACCTGGGAGACGATAACATCAGTCAAAGATACAATCAACAAGACAGCTTTAAGGGAGAATGTACGACTAGCAGTATTGATGCCACTCACCTGATCATTGAGATCCAGGTCGATGAATCCTGGGATACTCTTAGCGAACTCTGTCACTTCTCTAACCGCTTCAGCCGAGCGTGATTGACAGCTGTGGAAGAAACGCAGCTCCACGGCATCCAAAATAGCACACTCTGAACCTGAGTGAGCTGCAGGGAAACCTGAAATTCAATGAGATGTGCTCAGTGAAATGAAACAGTTGGAGCATTACAAGAAAAGACTCAGAGTTTCAAATATCTTAAGAAATGTATAACCATATCAACAAGGAGGGTGATGTTATGAGTTGACAGCAAAAGTAAAAATGCCGGACTTTGAAAAACTGAATAAAAAGGTACTTCTAACCTCCATGTCCAATTGTTAGGGCTGATGTTGGCTGCTGCTGCTCCTGATTTGGTATCTGCTTACAATTAATAAACTGCTCTCCTTCCATTAGAGATTTCATGTCATGGATGACAAAAGGCTGCAGGGAGAGAAGAAAAAGAAATTAGGCATAAAAGAGATTTGTAGGGGCAGGAATAAGCAAGTAGAAATCGGTGGGAGAGAAAGCAGGAGAAAAAAAAAAAAGGAATCAGCGTCGGCTCCCTATAGGTCTATAGAGGACATGTGGGCCGCAAATCTAATCTCATATACTGTGTATGCACTTTGGTCAAAGCTCATTCATCAAAGTAAATAAATGTAAAACAACATTTGCAGGTGAATGAAGCTTAACTCAGTTGAAAACATTCTGACTGAGGTGAAAACACTGGCTTCAACATGCAACAGCCCCCATGATGAATGGAAGCATTCATACGCTCAAATCTTTGTCATGGTTGTAAAAGTAGAATGAGACACGATAGAGGGAACTTCAGCAAGAGATGCAAAATGATATAAATGAAAGACACCTTTTGGTTGTATAAACTAGAGAGTGGTGGAATTTGTCTTTTTTCTTTTGGTATGTGTGCTGACTTCACAAATCTGTTCACGTTTTTTTTAGAAGTCTTTACTGATGTGTAGGGCTCCTCATTTTTAAATGGAGACACTAATAAAACATCTATGTGACTTGTCAAAAAGGAATAGGACATTAAGCTGCCATGTCTACCAGTAAGGACAAATTGGTCTGTCTATCTAACACGTTTTTAAACAACACATTTTTTTTTTGTTTGTCTGGAGTGCTGTTAATTCAATATGAATAAAAAAACAAACATTTAATAGTATTTCACAAAACCCCTTTATTTCTATTTGTTAAATGTGATTTCCTATTTGTTAAATAATGTTTGCTATGGTTAAGTAAACAACCAAAGACTTCCTTCAGGGGCCGCTATCACTGTGGTGAACAGTCAAAACAATGATCAGAGATACTCAGCGTGGCCTTGAACACATCTGTCTTTACAGAATACACTGCAAAAGAAGAGGAGACTATCTTCTCCTCCTCCTCCTCTGCAGTAGTAATAATGATAATCATAATACAAACAGCTCCAGTTAGTGAATGTGGTGAATTCATACCACTGTGTGTGTATGAATCATACTGTAGTTTAATCCACTGTTCATATTGAATGTTTTTGATGTGTGTGCTCGCCTTCTGCATTAACCCAAACTCTGCTGTACTTGTTAGTTGGTAGGTTCAGCTGGTTCGGTTAGGCTGTGCATGAATACTTAGTGAACCAGACTTGATAAGGTTAAAGATAATCTTATCACCTTGACTTTTCAGAATAAAAGCACATCTTAAAAAATATTTGCAAATGATAATTGTATTTCTTACATAATTTTAATAACACTTTTTTTCAAACATCAATCTTTTAAAAGAGTTTAATTAGAGATGAACCACGAGGCTGAAGCCTTCACCACATGTCCACTCCGCTTACTAATGCATTCACCACAGCTTTTCTCTGAGCTGCCACTTGTAATTACGTCGAGGTGGATTTCCTGATGAAGTCTTTTTTGAAAACTCACATTTAATATCTCAAAATCTTTAGTACAAAAACAAAGAAATAGATGATATCTTACATTTTCATGGTGTGGTCAAATCCCTTTTCTACAGCCAACTACAAAATGTCGTTATCAATTATTCTTACTTTTGAGGTGCAGTGTAGAGGCCGTGTTAGCCTGTTGCACAGCCTGACCGCTGTAATCTGAGACGCTTTCTAACAGGCACGACATGTAGAAAACCAGTCAAACCACTTTTCCTGTCAAAGCTGCGATAGAAGCTTAAAAAGACATCATGTGAACGACATCAAGTGTGGAAACATACGATAGTGCAGGGTTAGGGAAGACTTCAAACTTTTATAACTTTGAGTAAGGCTGAGTATGGGATAAAATGACGATAATTACATCTGTGAAATAATGAATGTACATATTAAGATTTTAGAGTCAACAGTCTTTTTAAAAGTGGAATCGGACCACTTTGTTAAGAGGTAATTATTGTGGGAAATTAGAATTAAAGATTCATGCCATTGCGTAGTATAAATGTACATCATGTGCTGTTTTGTTGGTAATTTGGGTTTTGTTCTTGTGATATTTTCCATAGTGAGATAAAAAAATAAATAATTTATATACACACCGTGTCCTTTTTAGTATCCTATAAAACTATTTCGTAGAATTAAGGCAGCTCTTACTGAGTTATCTCCGTTCTTCCCAGAGAGGATGGCCCTGGCCTTGGCCTTGGTGAGGGGGAAGTATTTCAGATAGGCCTCGTACAGATGTCGGGCTAGAGACCTCAGATCTGCGGCCTCTGGGTGCATGTGCTCCATGTCAGACGAGAACTCAGCGAGAAGTTTCTCCTTTTCCGCCTGCGGCATTCTGCCAAAACGAATGGCTGCGAGAGAAAAAAAAAGACAGTGAGAAGCCTGATTATAGCGTAGATAGAGACTGATTGGCAGGCACAATATGTGAGTGCATGAACAAGAGCTTCATCTTAGTACGAATCACATGACATCCAAAAAGGTAAATGTACAATACATCTGTTAGGAAACTTTTGAAGACATTGAAGTGTTTAAAAGTACATAAAAAACATCTTTGAACTTTGGGGGTCCAGAGTAAATCTTAAATTGAAATAGATAACGGACGTCACTGAGATCTTGACTCCCGGGCTTAATCCAGTTTGAGTTAGCAACAACGTGACAATCATTTAAAAAAGGTCCCAAATCTGTTGCCAACATCTCACATGCGCAAAGCCTGCTGCTTCTCTTAGTCTTAGTGGACAGTATATTCAGAATATGGATGTTATCTACAATGAAAGGGAAAATCTATTTTAATAACATAGGAAGTGTTACCTTTGTAGTTTTTATGGGGTGTTTCTAATGAAGTTGACATGACAATGACCTCCTTTTAATAACATGGTTACACATATTTATGTAGAAGTTGTGACAGCTCAGTGCAGAACCTGACAAACTGTCTCAGCCCGCCTTCATGTCCACCTGCCTGTTACCACAGGCGACACAAATAAGGAGCCCGATCTTATTTCCACATTTACATTAGTGTATTGACACATACACTGTTGTAATGTCATGTTACTTTTTCTATTCGGCTTCTATATTGATCATTAGAAAAACATATATTTTTCGAAAATGATTCAGTTCAGTGATCATTGTATTGATATTTATTGAAGTTTAATAATGTATGACACAGGAATCATTATGATCTCGACTTCATCTCGACCAGGGAGAAAACGCTCCTTGTAATCTCACTGTAATTTGATTCCCGTGTTGTGAAATGGTTTAGCTATTGTCTTTCTGTCAGTGGAAGTCATTAATTATCTCTCCATTCAAACCCACGCTCTGCATTTACTGCAGTGTTTATGTGATTGTGTAATGCTGACTGTGAAATAAACGCACACCTCAAGCAAATAAATACAAACCAGAGTCACCCTATCAACACTGGCAGCATGCCTGCTGCAGTGACACAGCAGGTTTGAGAAATCAGTTGAGGTCTGTGCACTCTGACATGTCAATCATTGATAAATGAAAACCCACACAGAGCAGACGTTCAAAGCACCGGCTGCACCTCCCTGAATGGCAGACAAATAATGTGTGGGAGGAGGCATAAAGAAGTAGAGGGAGACCGTGACAGAAACAAACCTATTATCATTGATACCAGTAAAATACTAAGCTGCACCTAAATAAAAGCAAAGAATGGACCGGACATACACTGTGAGAATTAAGTACAGTAGCATGAACAATAGGCATGTAGACTACTTTCTGCAAAAAGAACCTTAAATGCAACACTCTAATCTAGATACAAAAATTAAAAGTTGTGCATTTCTACACCTGGTATGGAAGTGTCCAGCCATTTTTACATGTTTGTGTTACTGTCCTTACATCTCCTTGCCTAGAAAATATGACTACATTTCCCCAGGTTAAATCTTGTATGACTAAAGCCCTCAGTTCTAGCCAAATTATCAGTAATCTTTGTAAACTATCCCTTTAGTTATTGTTTAATTTGTAATCAGAAACTGTGATGCACATTTTAAATAGAAGTTAATGTTGTGCCTTTCCCTCCATGATCTATTTATGACCCCACACTTGTCCATCATTCTTTTGTGAGTGAGTAAGAAGCTCTTTGATGAAACGTGACCAGATTTGAAGTTGTTCATATGATGGGTTTGATTTGTAAATAAAAAAGTGAGCTGTAAATTTTTAAACCCTCAGGGAGCGTCAATCAACACAAGCTTAGCATGCCCACCAGGTGACATTGTCCACTCTGAAACTCATGTGACAGTCAGCTTTATATATGAAAAAGGGAGGGATGCGCTCCATCTTGCGACAAAGGTGAACAAAAATAAAACCCGTTTTTCAGCAGAATATTCACAGGTGTTTTAAAGGTGAGTAAATTAATCCTTTATATATTTAACCTCTAATGAGGAGCTTGTGAGGTGCTGTCAACTGAACGCTCTTACTTTATATTTCAGTGTTTTACTATTTCAGCGCATTAACAATACAAACTAAATTCACAGCCTGTTTTTTAAAGAAAACAAATGTCTCCCATCAGACGCAGCTTGTGAATCGAAACAAAAGAAGAAGCAGTAAACGGCATTTGTATTGACAAGTATAATTCATCACAGAAGATGGCTCTGTGTGGGAGGTGTTGGCATTTACTTGTAGTTTCAGATAGTTTAACCAAGCATCTAAACAAAGCATGGCTGTTTTTAGGGGGTGGAGGAGGATTTTAAAGTTAGCTTGAACCACAATGTTAGCCTCGAACTGTGCTGGTTGGTATAGCAGGTTTACAAGACTACAAGTGATGGGAACCGATCCGTGACCAGAAAGTGTAATTTCAGCTGAAGACCACAGAGCAAGAAACTGGCAACATATAGGACAGTGGTGTTATTTGTGTACATTTGATCACAACACTTTAGAAACCAAATTTGTAGCAGTGTGGTGAAGATGTTTCTCAGAGGGCATCAAAGGAAGAAGGGTTGGTTAGAAAAGGAGGCAATTCTGGGCCCCAAAAGCAGAGAGAGAGAGAAAAAAAGAGTCTTTTAACTTAAGTGTGCGCATTTATAGTATGAGGTTGTGTTCCTTTCTAAAACCATGAAAATGAAACCACCCGAGTGCACACATGCTTTGACTTCTGTTACCATCAAGCTAATCATGGCCTGTAAATTTGAAATGTATTTATCCTTTATTAAGATAAATCAAGCACATTGTACATACTGTGGTTAAATGAATTAATGAATGTACACTTTAGTAAAATGTAGGCTAGTATCACCATCTTACCGTTGTGCGACATGCCGACATTGAGGCACTTCTGGAAGCGACAGTATTGGCACTTGTTGCGAGACTTCTTGTGAATGCGACAGTGAAGATCACAGTGATCGTACACCAACTTTAACCTGATTGTGCGTCTGAAGAAACCCTACAAGAAGGACAGAGACACTTCAGATATTGTCACTTAAGATATCACAAATTTTTCTTCTGCTCTATGCTGATGATGCTGCCCCTTTGTTGTAAGAATCGGTACAGTAGGAGATGTGTGCTGCAGAAAATGATTAACCCACAAATCATGATATGACAAAAACTGAAGAAAAGTCTCATGATTGTAAAGGAAACTCTATTCCTAGTATGATACACACCTTATAAAATAAACTCCATAATCTATATGGTTGATAAAACACAGGTGTACAGATCTTTATATTTTAAAATGAATTTTTTGCAATTTATCATCAGCTACAAGTTTCTTTTGGTGAAGGAGCTCTGTAAGCATTTATTTATGGGTAGATGTAGATTAGATTTCTGTCTATTTCTAATCTCTGAGGAAGTCGATCATACTGATCCACGAGTGTATTTAAAAGTAGATTGTATTTTAGGGTGCTTTCAGGGGCTTTGATTTTTTTCAACCTTAGGACCAAAGAAGCCATAAGACTCCTTGTGCTTATCTATTTACTACATGGCCATGACCAAACTACCAACACACAATCTTGCACACGGTCCCAGGTTTGTTATTGCTCTGATTGTTGTCTATACTGATTATAGAAGCTAACTGAATGGGCATTTAAATCCACATCTGGCATTATGGGAAGGCTGGTGTGTTTGGCATCCAACTCCCTAAGATCGACAGATGTTTCTTTTTTTAATCGCAAGTTATTTAAAGAAAGAGGAAGTTAAAAGGGGTCAAGGCTCCACCTCAATAAAGAATGTTTTGTGCTTTGAAACAATTAAGTGTTTGCCTGTTTGGCTGACCCCATCTTCTGGTGAGTCTCCCCTGGGGCTTTAAGAGAACAATGACTCCTGTACCTTAGCTTCATTCAGCCTCTGAAAGTACAGTTTGACTAAGACTGTATAGAAAAACAGAAAGCCTCCCATGTTTTAGCAAATCCAACTGAATACTCCTCACAGGGTCACAGAGGTCCTGATCAACTCTCTGGTAATGGTCAAGTTAGTTATTGTGTTGTATTTCATTCTATTACACTGCATGTTGATTTTTATACAACATTTCTTAATCACTGCAGATTTTAAGTCAATCAAGTTGAAAAATTATTAAACCTATTTCAGTCAATACAACACCACCATAATGTAAATAGAACAATAGCATTTTAAAGAGAGAAAGGCTATTTGACCAACATCAACAAATCATATCGATAGAAAAACAACTAAAATGTGTTTTTCAGTGTCTGTACTTTAAAAGTCATCCTAACCTGAAGATTTTCTTTACACACTAAAAACTCAAATAATTTCTCCACAGATATATGCTTTCATTATTAATAATATATATGTATGTATATACATATATATATATATATATATATATATAAAATGTCTGAAACGAATGTGCAATGTACTTTTAAGAAACTGTTACTCGGGGCAGGAGTTAACAGTGTATTTGTTGGGCGCTACATTTATTTAGCTACAGATTTGCTTTGCTAGCCTGATTTGACAGAAGCAGATTGTCAAAAGTGGGATGAAATCAAAATAAACCACAGAGCAGTACAAAAGAAACATGCCACCATAGTAACTGTTCCTCTCACTGATTTATGTTTAACAATAGGAAAAGAGCTGAAGTAAAAGGTGTAGTTGTATAATTTCTTTAAGTATTGCATCTTCAGAATGGAAGATTTTTCTGTTTTTATTTTGACCCTTTTGGTCCAAAAATCTGATTGTATCCTTCATTACAATTCTAGAAATATCCTGAAATTGTTTTGAATTTGTAGAAACACAAGACAATGTGTTCAATGATTTACATACAAGACAACCTATTATTATTCACTAAAGTCATCTAAGCTCATGTAATGTACCCTTTTCTAAGAAAGCCAGAGGTAAGTGTGAGTGTTTCTTACAGTAAAGAGAGAGAGATTGCTGAATGCTGACAGCTGTCTAGTGGCTTTTTATTTATTAGTTGTTCTGTTTGTCATTGCAGGACATCAAAACTACTTTTGCCCTCCTTTGTCTCGTGTCTCAATTTTTCAAAGAAAACAGAATCATGTGTGAAACTTCGCCCACACTCTTTTTGTTATTTGTACTCTATACTGACATAACTACAGCCCAGGGTTTGAAGGGCTGTCTGTATGCCTGCTGAGGCACACGCCTTCCCTGAGCATTTGCAAAGTGGAAAATGTATGGGGCTTGTGGTTAAAGTGACAGACATCAAATAGATTTAAAAAAAAAAGATGCACACTTCTCTGCACACTTTTATAATTACCTATTCCACCAACATGGTTCATCGAAAAGTGACACAGGGTGACAGATAAAGTGAGACTGGCAAGGAAACAAAACTCAACACTTCTCAGAAGAAACTCGTACACCCCTCAGCATTTCCTGACATGTCAGTAAGAAGGTATGATCTTGAGGGCAGCAATCAATTTATTTCCACTGTTGTGGACTAAACTTTTGAGCTATGATAAGAATCTCTTTAATGCCTAGTGTTTCTCCCAAAAAAATGTGAAAATACAGATTGTGTACAGCTCATAAAGAAGACGATGGAGTAGCCCTGTTGATTTTTATGTGACCACTTAGTCCTCAAAAAAGACCGATAATACTGACAAAAGTAACCGATAAAATTAACCTTAAGGTCTGAGACATTTTTAGGTCGTACAAAGAAAGAGACAACAAAGTGTTTAGAATGCAGAACTAAAAAATTCAGTTTCAGAGAATAATTATTTGCAACTATTTTGATAACTTTAGCTTTTTTATTTTTGAAAACATGCAAATCACAAGTGAGTTGCAGTCTCATAATTTTGAGTATTTTCTGCCATTCTTTGTCTTTCTTGAAATTAAATGGAACATTTTGGGGGGTTTTGATCTGGCAACAGAAAAACAACAACAATCCACTTAGATCAGAACAGTGGCTATTCATTAGCCTTCGCTTTGTTCATACATTTTTACTCATCCTACCTTACAGCCCTCACAGGCATGGACACCGTAGTGAAACCCTGATGCTTTGTCTCCACACACCCGACACTCGATGTTTAGAGCTGTGGTCGACGTATCGTCCTGGTGCTTGGAGAACACGGGGCTGTCTGAGTACTGAGGAGGCGACTCCGGCTCCAGCTTGATTGAGTCTGATAGAGGAAACATCGTCAGGTACAAAAACAAGGAGCAAGGGAGACAGAAGGCTTAAATGACCTTTGTTCACATCTTACATACATTTCCAGCTTTAACACTGCATTGGTTGAACCTAGTTTCAGTATATGTTACTCCTGTAATCTCTAACCATCTTGCTGTTTTTATGTTTTCAACACAGGTGAAAATCTACACCTCCACCTACTCCGCGCTAAATGTGGTACATTTCATTTTCATTTTGAAGCTTTCATGAGGACTTAAACTAATTGAAACAAGTTGCAAATAAGATTTTTTTTTGTCCATGTGTGCAGCATCTAAACGTTGATTAAATGTTTCAGATCTGGACTTACTGTGCATGTCGTACTCAGTCCTGTAGCTGTGCATGTTGGTGTAGTCTAAGTTGGTCAGGTGTTCTTCGCTTTGCGGCGGACTGGGGTCATAGGCCATACCGGCAGAGGCGACGCAGGAAACGAGTGTGGGGGACATTGAGGAAGGGACGGAGGAGGAGGAGATGGAGGCATAGTCTAACGTGGACAAATGCTTCATGTCCAGGGAGTGGGAGCTGTCATCCAACTCTGACAGGTCCACGGCGCTCAGACTGAATCCCACAGGCCAGGCTAGGAGCTGCTGGGTGTCCACCATGTCTACTGTGAAGAGAAAGACATGAGGAGGTGACGCGATTGCTGATGCAACATCCTTTGTTGACTGTGTGTGACCTTGTTAAAATAAAACAACGCTTAAGATCTGGAGTGAGGAGGGGAGGAAGTAGTAAAAGCTGTAGATACACGAAAGAGAGGAGGCTGGGGAGAAGATTAAAACTTGACAATCAAAATATATGTGGAACTGCCATTATTCAGCATTGTGCACATACAATTAATTAAATATGATCTTTCAGTAAAGCCAAAATGGTTAAAACAACAGACACACTCCACATCATGACGAGTACCCCCTGTCCCTCAGATTATTCCTGCAGTCTGTCTGTTATCTAGTAAACATGGAGGCGGATTGTGTCACAGTGAGTACAAGACGAACTTTGGCACTGAGTAGAGTCTCTTTTGCTCAAAACACAGTCTTCATAAGTTTCTGTTTGGGCGGCTCTCTGTGTGATTACCCAGTCAAAGAACACAGACAGCAGGAACTATTTGAGCTTCAGTCTGTCTGAGGCCAAGGATTTGACATCAGCAGTGCAACAGAATGCACCTTCTGACTGTTGAATGTGTTACCAATTATTAAGAACTGGGTTGGCAGTGGCACCAACATTGTTGTAATAGTGTCCTTTCAACTTAAAATAATTTAATTCTGATTTCCTGGGAAGGCTTTGTATTTATAGGCTATGTCTATTGTCTGGTTATATTCTATATCATTCTCATTCAAACCAGATCCTGCAGAAAGACAAACACAAAAAAAGACTTCTCTACCACATCTGTGGTAATTATAACAGGTTATGTTTGGTTTTGGCAAATAAGATTTCCCAAGATAATGTTCAATTGCCAAAAGTCCTGATCAGTGGTTGCAGACCCAAATTACTCTTGAAGCTGCAACCAATCAGAGCCACCCGACATGTGTTGAGGGGCAAATACATGGCAAGCTTGCATGTTCAAACATCCAATTTATTGGTCAACATATTTGGCATAATGAAGTAGCAAACAATTACCAGGTGTATATAACTTGAACTGCCATTCAGTTCGACCACTACTAACATAACAGCTCATCTAGAATGTCCCACATCAGCAGCAAAATCTTATCAGTCTCAACAAGGTCCGTTACTGTCTTTCGATCCTGCCCCAGATTTGATGAATAGTTTTGATTGGTCTGACCAGGTTGGCTGGGAATCTTGCTGAGCAGTGAGGGGAAGAGACAAATCTGAGCACACAGACTGGTTCACAAGCGTATGAAGCTCTATAGCACAGATAAATAAGCTATATCTGACTTTGGCTACACTGAAATACTTGTAAGAGTGAGCAATTTTATTATCGTTTTTTTTTTTCTTATCCTGAGAGTTGTTGACACTTACAAATATTTGGTTTATATCAGCAGTATCCTTTAATAGAATTTGCTACTTGGAGAAAAAATAATCTATAAACCTGATGATAGTATTCAGAAAGTCCTTGAAGGGGGCGCTGGTGGTGCAGTGGTTAGTGCGCCCAGGTTCGAATCCGGCCTGTAGCTCCTTTCCCGCATGTCGTTCCCCACTCTCTCACTCCCTGATTTCCAACTCTATCCACTGTCCTATCTCTCCATTAAAGGCACAAAAAAAAGAAAGTCCTTGAAGCTGCTTTCTACCCCACAGACTTGTAGCTCAGCTTCTCGTTGACACAAATGATTAAAGGCTCTACAGTCATTCAAATATCTTACACAGTGTGTCAGACATATGAGGTGAGCCGAAATGGTCACAGTCCAGATATCATAGGTTACTCTAGTCCACACAAAAACAAACCATGTACAAGGCTATGTAATGAGGCTTACGTTTGAACGGGGATTTTATTCATTAGAATATCTCGTTGTAGTTGTTTGCGTTTGTTTCAACCTTTGAAAAGAAAAACTGTTTTATCTATTAATTACAAAAAAACAAGGGTCACACAAAAAGATGCTATTATTAAAATTAAGAATTCATTAAAATTGAAACAGTAAAGATATTAAAGGAAAAAGTCAGGGGTATGCTTTATTTTGTTTCTCCCAACAAATAACACGAGGAGCCCAAAGTAAAAAAAATTTTTTGGTCCAGTACGTTGTACACACCTAACCTGCCTGCAGTGGATACCAAAGCCATTTACTCCTACTTAAAATATTGATCTTCATATGTAGTTCAACTGGGCTCTTTTTACTGGGATTTGTAGTTTTTGACTTTTTAGGGACCATTTACTGATTTGACTGATTCGTACAGTATGTATGAAATGTGTCAGTTAGAGTTTCTTTGATCAGGGTGATGTATGTGCAAAATATTCAATGAACTACACTGCCCATGTTAATGAAACAACGGAACAACTGTGAGATCCCTTTGTGTTTTCAGTGGCTTGTGAACAAAAAAGTAACTCGGCGAGGAGGGATATTAAAAAAAACCAAATAGATTATTAAATTGTGGGTTTTGGTCTGTTAAAGAATTTGGTGCTATATTTGATAGTTATTGAAAGGAGTTTGATATTTCATTGGTCAGTAAGTAGCATAAACAATGGCGTCAGTGTCCATCCAGGAGCTGTCTGTTGTCCGTAGTGATACAGGCAGAGTTTTCCTGATTAAGCAAGTTGACCTTGTGGGTGAAATCCTCATGTGACATGTTCTGGGTGGTCTGTTAAGGGAAGTGAGTCTCTCCTGTGTGTGACAGAAATGTACAAGGATGTACCACAGACACACAGCGTATGCTTTAAATTGGCTGCTGAGTCTAAATTGTCAATCAAAAGAGTCTAAGAGAAGCTCAGGTTAAATAAAGCAGTATAGATGAGTTAACAGACCAATCTAATGAGTGACTTATCCTTGAACATTGTTTTCTTCTTTTAATTTAATGAAAATGTAATTCAAAAGCTTAAGGGGAGAATATTGTGTTATAGGAAAGAAAGGGCTGAATCATGTGTATTTATAAATAAAACAATATGGGTAGCTATTCAATTTTGTTCCGTCCGATCCAAAAGGAAAGAAAAAAGGAAAAGGCAGAGTAGCAGCAGTTTATAAATAATTTATGGACTAAAGGGTGCGTCCTGAAACACCTGATGTGCCAAACATCCTTTTGTGTCCACCACCAAAAATAAACCTCCGCCAATCAACGAGTGCCTGATTCGGAAAAGAAAGTAACAAAGAATGTAAGGAATTATAGTACAGGACAAAACTAAAATAGCAATAAGCCGATGGCACAGCGGCATCAAGTATAAAAATGGCTTCACATTACTTTGCAAAACATCCCCCCCGGAGAAAACATCCTCCTCCCTCAAATACTTATTGTTTCCTTTTCACTTGCTTGGACTCTGGCAACACAAATTAGCAGGGGAACTACTTAAAATTCACAGCGACGTTGACATTGTTTCAGAACAGGAGGGCGAAAGAGAAGTATGTGTGTGCGACGTGCGTGTGTGTATGCGTATCCTCTAATATCTAAGAAGCTGCTGTTAGGAAAAATGGTGACTATTAATAACTGAGGAAACCTGGTTATTTTTTCTTTTGTTGGGAGGTTGCCATCTGATCCAAACCTAAAATAGACACGGCATTGGAGCAACTTGTGTCCTGCTTGGCATCAAGTCATCATATGGAGGCAGGGATCTTATGGGAGTAAAATGTGAGAGGGGTGACTGAGAGCAACTCCCAAGACCATTTTGAGAAAACAAACTGCACATTTATGGCTTCAGGTTAAAAAAAAAAAAAGTCAAGTTCTGTACTCTGCTGGCTCTTACATATAACTAAGACAGAAAAAAGAAGGTGTCTGCAGTCTTGCAGTTTTGCCATGGTGCTTAAATCTATTGTATATAAAGGTGAGAACTACTTTCTACCGTTACTTCTTTCCTGTGAGATTTCATGAAAATACTGTGGAGAACAAATTCCACTGAATTCAACATGTATGTTGTGAGCGCTGTGTCGGCAAACACCCCGTCAGATTCTTCAGAAGGTGACAGACGATTAGTAAGGCTTTCGCAGTGTGCGCTATGTTTGCAAAGGTATGTGTGTGTCTGTGCACACGTGCATGACAGCTCTACCGCTGTCAGTTCTCAGATTTCCACATGTAAGAACCTGTCTCTCAGGTTCAAGTGCAGCGTGTAGGAGTATATTATCAGCTATTGCCGCAATCATGACATAATAACAAAAGACCAACGGCAAACTGGCAGGCAGGTCTGGAAAGCTACTGTAACGACGAGGCCGACTGACACTGTGTGTGTGTTCGAGCCAAAACATACAGTAAAACATTTTCAAGTACAATCTTGTGAGGATCTTTGAATGAACAAACACATCAATTGAGACAGGAGCGACATGAACAAAGGTACAGATGGACCCACAAAAGCGGAAAATATTCAACAACTGAAATGTGAACTTAAGCAGAGAGAATGATGGTGCTCTTCAATTTAGAAACATACTTTAGAAAAAAAGATATAAACCCAAGAGGTCAGGGAGATGTGAAATCTTTCCTTCAGGGACAAAGTTGCAAAACGTATGAAACTGTTTTACTTTCAAATTTCTTAACAACAGCAATGATTTGGTCAAAAACAGGATGACGCAAAGGCTAGAGATCGGATTACTGCATGAAACGTCTGAATATGCCTCTGAATTTATTGACTGAGATAAAATCATCACTGGGGCGCAGGTAGCCTATTGGTTAGTGCACACCCCATGTACAGAGGCCAAATTCCTTGAAAGCAAGCGTTCATGTGGCTCCTTTCACGCATGTCATTCCCTACTCTCTCCCTCCCCCCGATTTCTAACTCTATCCGCTGTCTTGTCTCTCTAACAAAGACATAAAGAGCCCTAAAATAAAAATGTTAAAAAATAAAAATCATTATTAACACAAAAAATCCAAAGAGGGAACACGCTTAAAAATCTCAACAAAAAAACTCAACTTAAAGGAATAAAAAGTACTAAATACACCCTCGTGAATAAGCCTGAAAACATTCAGCATCATCATCATTTTTTCCTAGGGTGTAGGAGCCTCCTACAATCCGACACAGTATGT